TTCTTCGGAACCGTTTCCGGCGAATCAACGCGCACGCCTCGGACGTTTCAGCCTTCAGACGCGGGTCGAACCCGCCGTACACGAAGACGCCGCCGACGACGTCCGCGGGGTCGGCGCCGCCCGCCGCCGCCGCGGTGGCCGCCGCCGTCGCTGACAACGCGCAGATCGCGGGGTTCTGCACCGAGACCGGCGCGTCCCCGACCGGAGCGATCGCGGCCCACGCCAACTTCGGCTCGTAGTCCCAACTCGCGTCGGCGCCCCCGGCGTCGTCGATTTCGACGCACGTCACCGCCATCCGCGGCGCCGCGTCTTCGTCCGTCGCCGCCGCGTCCTTCTTCTTCCTCCTCTTCTTCGCATCCCCCCCCTTCGTCGCCGTCGCCGTCGTCGTCGTCCCGTCGCCGCCGGGAAGGATCGTGACGACGCACCCCCTCGCCGCCGGCTCGACGTCGCCGTCGCCGTCGCGGTAGGGCAAGAACACCGGCGCGAGCGCGTCGCACTCGAGGTCCGACGCCGCCGCGTCGCCGGCGACGTCCTCCGCGCCCGTGCCAATCAGCTCCCTCCACGTCAGCGGCGACTCCAACACGCCGCCGCCGCCGGGCGCGAGGACGCTCGCGCGCGCCTCCGCAGCCTCGAGCAGCGCGCGCGTCTCCGCCTCGCGCGAGGAGGCTTTCCGAGCGGCTTCCTCGGAGACGTCCGACGCGCGTCGAAGCGCGTCCGCCTCGGCGCGAAGCGTCGTCATCGCCTCCGTCGCGTCGCTCGCTCTCTCGACCGCGGCGCGCGCGGCGGATCGCGCGGCGGCGTACCGCCACTCGCGCATCGCGTTCTGGGCGCATCGCAGCGCCGCGTTTCGCTCGCCGCGTCTCAACAGCGCGCGGTATTTCGCGCTCTGCGACGCCGCCGCGCGCCAACGGACGACGGCGGCGAGCGTCGCGCTTCTTCGCGCCGCCGCCGAAGCTCGCGCGTCCGTCGCCCACGCGTCGAACGCCCGGGCGACCCTGCGCTTCTTTTGCATCGCGCGCATCCTCGCGACGGCGACTTTCATGACGCGCCACCCGCCCGCGATGTCCCTCCACGCGCGCATCTCGCGTCGAAGGTGCGTCTTTATCGTCGCCTTCACGAACCCTCCGACGCGGCGTCTCAAGCGCGCCGTCGCGCGCGCGTCCGCGGCCCAGGACCGGAACACCTCGAGGTATCTCCGTCGGTGCGCGCGCGACAGCTTCCCGGCTCCCATCTTCGCGAAGACGCGCGCGCGCCAGACGTGCTCTTTCCACCTCCGGAACATCCACCGGTCGCGGCTCTTACGCGCTCGGACGCGCAACGCGGCGAGGTCGTGCGCCAGCCGGCGACGCGCGGCGGTGAACTCCCGACGCCACTCCCTCCACGCGATCGCGCGGCGGTGCATCTCGTGCGCGCGCTTCATGCGCGCGAGTTTCCTCTCGACGCGCGCCTTTTCGCTCGCGACGACGCGCCACGCGCCAAACGTCGCCGCGACCGCGAACCGGTCGCGCTTGCGGTACAAGTCTGAAGCCTTCCGCGCCGCCTTCCTCGCGTTCGCGTACGCCCGCCGCGTCTCGCTCGCCCACCCCAAGAACGCGGCGCGCGATCTGCGCGACCGCGTCATCACCCCGACGCGATCGCACGCGGTTCGAACGCGCCACACCCATCGTATCGTGTTCGTGAACTGCGTAAACGCCGCGCGCGTCTGAATCTTTTTCCACTTGGGCCCGGCGCGTGATTGGAGCGACCTCGACGCGCGTCGTTTCCGCGCGTAGATCCTCAACGCCGCGAGCGCCGCGCGCAGGCGCCCCTCCGCGAACTTCACCGCGCTGCGCTCGAGCGATCGCACGACGACGTTGTTCAGCGTGCGCCGCTCCGCGAAGTTGTCCGCGAGCGCCTCGTTCCTCGCGTTGGTAGCCGCGACGTCCACTTGCGTTCGAGCCTCCGGGTCGTTCCATACAGGCGAACGTCGGGGTGGAGTTGAAAGGCGTCAGGTGGAGTTGAAAGGCGTCGAGGACGGGAATTGAAAGCGGGGGGTGGGCGGAGAGATGCGCCGGGCAAAGTCCTTAAGGATCGGCGTCCACCACGCCAACGCGGTCGTATGAGGACCAGTGTATAGAACGCGCCTCCTTCTCTCGGCGCTCCGCCTCCTCAAGACGCGCGCGCAACGCTTTGTTCTCGTCCTCCAGTCGTAATATCGCGACGTACTGCCCGCGCTCGCGCTGGTACAGCGCGCCGCGAGAGGACGAATCTCGATGACCGTTGACGCCTCCCTGCGCGCTCATCGGGCTGTCGCCGCCGCGGAGGGGCGCCGCGGGCGTCGGCGTCGCCCCCGGGGGCGACGCCGGGGGCGCGTTCGCGTTCATCTCGTTCATCGTCGCCTCCGCCTCCGCGCGGAGCTTCTCCGACGCGCTCGCTCCCTCGATCGCGGCCTGCGCGCGCGCAGCCTCTTCCGTCAGCCTCGCGCGCATCGCGTCCAGCTGCTTCGACAGCGCGAGTATCGCGCCGTCTTTCGCCGCGGCGCGTCCGGACGCGCCCGCCTTTTTCAGATTAAACGCGCTCCCGTCCGCCACCGCGGCCGCGGCCACCACCTCCGCCGCGCTCGGCGCGTCGTCTCTCCGCGCGGCGCGCCCCGGGGACGAAGAAGCGACGTACACGGACGGCTCGAACGTCGTCGGCGTCGCGGCGCGCGCCGCGGGGGACGCGTCGCGCGATCCCCCCCGAGAGGAGCCCGCGCGTCTTGTTGAGCCGTTGTCGTCGTCCACGGTACCACGACGTCGCGCGTTTCCGCCCGGCGGTCCGTCGCCTCGACTCGGCGAGCTCGACCGCGCGGACACCGGATGCGAGGAGCTCCCCTCGACCCAGGACTGCCGCGCTTTCGGCGGGGACGCGCTCCCTCGCGGGGACGTGCCCCTGGACGACATCGCGGGGGGCGCGTGCGGAGGAGCGAGCGCGCGTCGTCGTCAATGCCGATGCGTGCTGACATCTCGCGGGCCCGCCAGCACGAACGGTCACAAAAAAGTCACGCTCGCTCTCCGAGGGAGGAGCGAAATCTAATTCATTCGGTCCGCGCGCGCCCGTCGCGAGCGCCACGCACGATGAGCGGCAAGAAGGAGACCGTCCTCGATCTCGGGAAGTTCATCGACAAGGGCGTCCGGGTCAAACTCAGCGGCGGCCGCGAGGTGACCGGGACGCTGAAAGGGTTCGATCAGCTCTTAAACCTCGTCCTGGACGAGTGCGTCGAGAGCCTGCGCGATCCCGAGGACCCTCTGAAGATATCCGACAAGACGCGGAAACTCGGGCTGATCGTGTGCCGCGGGACGTCCGTGATGGTCGTGAGCGGGTTGGACGGCATGGAGGAGATCGCGAACCCGTTCACGGAGGGTGGGGAGGCGGTGATGGACGGGCCCGCGGAGTGATCGTTCGATCGTTCGTTCGATCGATCCGTCGATCTCGCGCGGGGGCGATTTTTAGGGCGGGGCCGAGAGGACGGCGATCGAGGGAGCGCGCGGCGGCTCGGGGGAGGGATAGACGATTATAATAGTAACGCGAGACTTCGCCCTCCGCGAACATCACGCGACGCGACGACGCGCAAACCGAGGACCAGCGCCGATACTCTTCGGCGGGTCGCGCCAGCGCGCGAAATTCATCCACGCGCGAGAGTCTTCGTCACGGCAACTGCCTCTGAAACGCCGCGGCAGAATCTCCCCGCGCGGGGCAGCGCGTCGTCCTCCGCGGCGCGTCCACTCTCCGCGGCGGAACGGAACCGGCGCGGCGGCGGCGTGCACGCGCGCGCGCCGTCATCCTCCTCCTCCTCCTCCTCCTCGTCCGTCGGTCGCTTTCTTCTCCGCGCGCGTCGCGGTCGTCATGGCGCTCGCGGTCAAGACCGATTTTGAAGTGGACGAGCGCGCGCGCGCCCAGCGCGCGTCCGAACTCCGCGCGCGCGACTACGAAGCGTGGCTCGAGGACGCGAAGGAGGGATGGCGGCTCATCGCGAAGAAACGCGCCGCGCTCAGGTCGTTCGTGAAGAAGGAGAACGACCTCGACGCGGTCGCCGGGGGCGGATCTCGGGGGATCTCGGACGCGAAGCGCGCGCGATTCGCAGCGCTCGAGCTCACCAACGTGCACGCGCTGTCGAGAGACGAGCAGAAAAAGTCGAAGAAGCCGAAGGGCGGCCTCACGCGATGGCGTCTCGCGAAGCTCGACGACCTCGTCTTGGGCGAGGCCGCGACGTTGCAGCAGGCGGTGCGCGCGTTGGCGCGGTTGCGCGCGAGAGAGGCGGAGGAGGAGGCCGAGGGGGTCGCGCCCGGGTCGCTGCTCGACGAGGAGGACCGGATGACGCGGCTGGAGTTATTCTCCATGGGCACGCGAGCGGGGAGGCGCGAGGGGAACGTCGACGGAGATGAGGATGATGATGATGAGGAGGACGAGTTGGAGCGAGACGACGGGATGAGGGGCCCAGGGGGAGGAGGCGCGTATGGGAATTTAGGCGTCGACGACGACGTCAACGACGACGACGGCGGCGGCGGCGGCGGGGCGCGACACGACGCGAGCGCGGAGCTCGCGGACTTCGCGCGGAGGGAGGCGAACAATGAAAACGACGACGACGACGACGCCGACTACGACGACGACGACGAGATGGACGACGACGACGAAGAGAACGACGAGGAGAACGACGATCCCGCCGCCGCGACCGCGACCGCGCCCGCGACCGCGCCGGCGCCGGCGCCAGGGGAGACCGCGCACGACGCGCTCGCGGCGTACGGCGCGGGCGATTTCTCGGAGATCGCGCCGTTTGATAGCACGTGGAGCCCGCGAGGCGCGGTGACGTCTCCGGGGGGGAACGCCGCCGCCGCCGCCGCCGCCAAAACGCCGATGTCGCCGCCGTCGCGCGCGGCGCAAGCCGCGCGCGAGATGGGCTTCGGCGACGGCGGGGCTTTCCGATCTTCGCCGCGACGCCCCAACGCGGCGGCGCCCCCGCCCGCGACGGCGGCTCCCACCGTCGAGGGCATCGCACGCGAGGAAGAGGAAGCGAGAGCGAGGCTGGACAACGACCGACGAAGCGCCGCGTCGCGCGCGTCGTCGCGGGTCCTGCTCCGCGGCGCCGGCGCCGGGTCGGGGTCCGCGCGGGATCTCGCCGCGTCCGAGTCGATGGCCGCGGGCGTCGCGTCCGCGGCGGCGGGGATCGTCACCCGCGACACACCCGATCTCCCGGGTCGCGCGCTCGTCGTGTGCCCGACCGTTCAGGTTCAGCCGACCGAGGATCCGGAGGGTGGCGCGCCGAGGAAGAAGCGCAAGGCGCGTTCTATACACTGCTCCCCATACGATTCCGTCGCCGTGGTGAACGCCGATCCTTAAGGACTTTTGCCGTCGTCTCTCTCCGCCCACCCCTCGGTTTCAATCCCCGCCCTCGACGCCTTTGAACGCCAACTGACGCCTTTGAACTCCACCCCGACATCGCTTCGTACGGAACGACCCCAAGTACGTGAAACGTCAAGCGCGAACGGTGCAGACGACGGCGGACAAAGAGATCGACGCCGCGGTCGAGCTCGCGGACAAGCCGCCGTCGACGCTCACGGTTCGAGAGCTCGCCGTGCTCTTGAAAGGCGCGAAGCTGCTCATCGCGCGACGACGCGTCCTCCTGTACAACGGAATCGACAGCTCGTCGAGACGCGCCGCGCTCGGGTTCCGAGTCGTCGCGAAGAAGATTCACAAGTGCGTCGCGTGCGGCCGCGTGTTCGACGTGCCGAGCAGGTGCGTTCTATACACTGGTTCCCATACGACCCCGTTCGCGTGGTGAACGCCGTTCCTTAAGGACTTTCGCCGGCGATTCTCTCCGACCACACCTCGCTTTCAATCCTCGCCCTCGGCGCCTTTCAACTCCATCTGACGCCTTTCAACTCCACCCCGACGTTCGACGCGCCGAGCAGACTCGTAGACCACATGAACGAGCACACGGGCGCGCGGCCGTACGCGTGTCCGCACGAATCGTGCGGGATGACGTTCACGAACCGCCAAGCGCTGGCGATGCACAAGAAGAGCATCCACGACCCGAAGGAGCACGTCTGCCCGGTGCCCGGGTGCGGCAAGCGGTTCAGCAACTCGAGCACGCTGAATCAGCACCGGTTGGCGCACAGCGACGAGCGGCCGCACAAGTGCGAGGTGGCCGGGTGCGGGAAGACGTTCAAGACGGAGAGCGCGCTGGCGACGCACGGGAGGGTGCACACCGGGGAGAAGCCGTTCAAGTGCGAGGTCGAGGGGTGCGGGAAGAGTTTCGGGTACAAGCTGGACTTGCAGCGGCACACGCGGACGCACTTTGGGCAGCCGGCCAAGCCGGGGGCTTCGAGGAAGCGGCCGCGCGGGGTCGGGGGCGCGGCGCAGCTTCCTCCGCCGGGTCACACGGCCGCGCAGCCGGGGTTCTGGAACATGAACTCCATGACGTGGCTCACGGGCGAGCGGTGATAGGAACGGGACGAACGGGACGAACGGAACGGACGGGGGGGGGATGGATTCACATCGCGCTGTCGCGACGACGACGACGGCGACGACGACGATCGCTCGAGAACGAACGAACGAAAGGTTTCATTTGACGACGGGACGTCTCATCTCATCATCACAACCCGAAGTGCTTGTTGTACACCGCGGTGAACTGATACTCCGCGGCGATCATCCTCCCCGCGAACCACCTGGAGTGCAGCGCCGCCTGCGCCCTCTCCGCGCCCTTGACCTCCGCGAACTTGAGGTACACGAACCCCTCGCTGTCCTTGTCCACGTGGCAGTGCGCCACCGCGCCGTGTTTCCCGCACTCGTCCTTCACGTCCTCCGCGATGTCGTTCCACCACTCAGGCTCCGTCTCCTCTTTCGGGTCGAACAAGTTCTTCAGCAGCAGCGTCTGCGTCGGGATCGGCGACCCGGGCCCGAGCACGCCCTGCGCCGTCGGCAACGCCGCCGCGGGCATCTGCGGCGTCGCCAGCTTCGCCGCCTCCTGCGCGGTGATGACGCGCCCGGACGCGTCCACGCCGGCGAAGTCGCCGCCGTCGGACGTCCCGGCGAGCCTCGCCATCAGCGCCGCGCGTCCTCGCGAGTCCATCCGCACGCCCTCCGCGTCCTCCGAGAGCGACACCGCGTTCGCTTGCGTGTACGCGATGGCCGCCGCCGTCGCCGGATTTACGACGACGGGCGCTACGAACACCTTCAACGTCTTCCCCACGAGCTCTAGACCGTTCAACTGCGACACCGCGAGCATCGCCTGCTGCGTGAGCTTGTACTGCACGTGCGCGCCGCCGCTCTGGTCCTTGTCGATGGTTATGAAGTCCGTCTCCCCGAACGGCTCGAACACCGCCTTGAGGTCCTCCTCTCGAACGTTCGGGTGGACGCCCTCGACGCGGAGTTTGCACGGGCCCGCGGTGGGGTTTAGGTTTGGGTTTATCGCCGGGTCCACGGTCGTCGCGAGCTTCTGCTCCTCGCGCTTCGTCGCCTGCTCCGCCTCCCACGCGATGTTTTTCTCCGCCTCGGACGACTTCACCATCACGACCTGGTTCCGCAGCGTCTGACCCGTCAGGCTGAGCGCGTTTTCGATCGACGCCTTGTCTTTGAACTCGACGTACGCCATGCCCTTCGATCGCGGCGTGTTCCGGTCGTAGATGATCCGCACGTCGCTCACGATCCCGGCCGCGCTGAAGAACTTGTAAATCTCGCGCTCGTCCGCCTTCGTGCTCAGGTTGTACGCGAACACCGTCCGCGTGTCGCGGTCGAGCTTCTCGAGCTCGCGCTTCTGCTGCTCCGATTCCCTCTCCTCCCTGCGTCGCTTCTTCTCCGCCTCGCGCTCCTCGTCCGTGAGCTTGCTCCCGCCCTTGGAGCGGCTCCGCGAGCGCGACCGTCGCGAGTGGCGACGATCGCGGCCCCTGTCGCGGTCTCGGTCCCGCGCACCGCCGCCGCGATCTCGCGATCGGTCTCGGTCTCGTCCGCCGCGACCTCGATCACCTCGATCGCGGTCAGACCGGTCCCCGCGGTCGCGTCGGACGTCCCTGTCGCGGTCGCGCCGGTCGCGCTTCTCCCCGGGCTTCTTAGGGTCCTCGTCGTCCGCGGGCGCGTCCGCGGACGGCGCGTCGAGCTTCTTCTCGAGCTCGTCCCACTCGTCCTTGTAGTCGCCGTCGCCCATCGCGATCGACGACGGAGATTTATTCGGGAGGGAAGGAGGTGCTGATTACGACGACGCGCGCGACGATCTGATGCTGACCGACGGCGTCGGCGGCTCCGGACGCTCGCGCGCGTTCGGGTCCCGACTCGATCTTCTGACGATTGAACGCCGCGTCCACCGCCTTCGCGCGCGCGCGCCCTCGCTCGGTCTCGTGTGCGCGGTCGTCAGCGCGCCCCACGGTGTGTCGACGCCGCCGCCGATTTCCACGGCTGCGTCGATGGCGATTTCCCGCGCGGCCGCTGATGAAGACAAGTTTCGAAAGATGATCGCGCCAACTGTCAGGTCATCGTGCGCACTCCTCCCCCGCGAGACCACGATGTCGCCCGCGGGCGCGGACGACGACCCGTCCAAGTACCTCGGCCGGCGCGTCGAGGTCCACTGGGCGAACGACGACCCGCCGACGTGGTACCCCGGCGTCGTCGCGCGATACGATCCGCGGAGGAAGGACGCGCGGTATCGCGTCGACTACGACGACGGCGCGGACGAGTGGGTCGACTTCCCGGAGCCGACCGTGCGGTTCTTAGACCCGGAGCCGGCGCCGGAGCCGGCGGCGACGTCGCCGGCGAAGAGGAAGATGACCGTCGGCGTGAAGCGCGCGGCGCCGTCGACCGCGGCGTCGCCGCGCGCCGATCCGATGATCGGCGACGACATTAGCGTGCCGATCGTCGCCAGCGCGAAGAAGGGTACGTGTAAGGGCGGTGCCGACGCCGCCGGCGCGAAGAAGAGACGCCCGGCCGCCGCCTCGGGGAAGAAGAGAGCGAAGGCGAAGGCGAACGACGACGGCGACGCGGCCGTCGTCGACTCCAAGTGCGACGAGTCGCTGTGGACGCGAGCGGCGCGCGCGACGACGGCGTCGCCCGACGGCGCGCTGATGCCGTCGACGCTGAAAGTGCTCGAGACGTTCGCCGGCGCCGGCGGGTTACACATGCACGGCGACGCCACCCACGGGCCATCCGGCGTCGCCGTCGCGCTCGAGTCCGTCGCCGCGATCGACATCGTGAAGGACGCGTGCGACACGTATTCGCACAACTTCCCGGGCGTGAACGTGATGCACATCGGCATCTCGCGGTGCCTGGCGACGGCGCGGCGGCTGCAACGCTTGAAGACGCGCGACTGCGACGCGCGTTGCGACGGCGAATCGTGCGCCTCCGCGCCGCACGAGCCCGTCGGCGAGCTCGAAGACGTGAACGACGACATCACGCGCGTGTTAGACTTCCGCATCACGGACGACGCGACGCACATGCGCGAGGAGGACGTGCGGCGGATCAAAGGGAACAAGAAGGGGTCGTCCACGAAGGACAAGCAGATGTTGGACGAGGTGACGGCGCTGGAGGTGACCGGGAAGAAGCCGCTGCCGTGGATCGAGTGGCTCGTGGAGAACCACCGCGGGGACACGTGGTGGGAGCGGGACTCGAGCGAGGGGCGGCTCGAGCACGGCGCGCGGGTGTACATGCGCGCGGACGAGCACCCCGAAGTGTACGAAGAGTTCGCCGAGTTTGATGAAGGGTCGGACTTTGAAGAATGCGAATACGCGCCGTTCGGACCGCACAAGTTCCCGCTCCCGGGAGACGTGCACGTCGTCACCGGCGGGCCGCCGTGCCAGGGCTGGAGCGGGTTCAACCACACGAGGAGCACGTCGGACCAGCTCGCGGAACTCATGGAGCACCCGGAGAACAGGCTCATCTGTCGGTTCATGTAGCTCTGCTGGTTCTACGAGCCGTGGTACGTGCTCATGGAAGAAGGCGCGATCATATTTACACTGGTCCCCCCACGACCGCGTTCGCGCGGTGAACGCCGATCCTTGAGGACTTTTCCCGGCGTGTCTCTCCTCCCACCCCTCGCTTTCAAACCCCGCCCTCGGCGCCTTTCAACTCCGCTTCTGACGCCTTTGAACTCCACCCCGACGTTCGCTCGAATGGAACGACCCGAAGTCCCGGACGTCGCGTCCAAGTCCAACGTGATGGACTTCATCACGGGCGCGTACGGCGAGAAAGGGTACGACACGTGGTTCGAACCGAGGCTGCGGACCGGGCACTTCGGGTGCCCGCAGACGCGCGATCGGCTCATCTTCGTCGCGTCGTTGCGAGACGCGGTGGACGCGCCGCCCGCGCGTCCGACGCCGATTTGCAGCGATTTCGAGCGCGATAAAAATTACGCCATGGACGAGCTGCGCATCCAGCAAGCCTTCCGCGGCTCCGACGCGACGTACCCGATCTCGATGTACGACGGCCGCGTCAACAAGAGCAAAGAGCTCATGCGGAGCCTCGTCATCGGCGACGCCGTCAGCTGCGACCTGCCGACGGACGCGGTCGGGTACGGCTCGCACGCCGGGAACAAGTCGACGGAGGCGGAGGAGGTGGGACGCGCGACGGCGCCCTACGCGTCCGCGGCGTCGACGCCGTACATCGCGTATCTGCGGCAGGGCGCGGACGACGAGCGCGGCGTGAGCAACCACGTGAATTACGCGCTCGGCGAGCTCGATAAGATGCGGTGCTCGCTCGTGCCGTACGACTGCAAGGGCGTCGGGTGGAGGGAGATGGCGGGGTCCATGAACTCGATGAAGGCGCCGAAGATGATGCGGTGCGACGACGCGCAGTGGGCGCAACTCTCGCAGCGGTGGTGCAACAAGATCCCGAGCTTCATGCTCACGGATCAAAACGCGGCGCTGCGCGCGAAGAAGAAGCCGCTGAAGCTGGACCCCGCGACGGGGATGCCCGCGGTGAAGCCCGGGTGGAAGCTCCGGTCGCGCGTCTTCCCGCTCGTGCCGTACTGGTGCCTGACGATGAAGGCGGGGAAGGATTCCGGGTGCTACGGCCGTCTCTCCTACGACGAGCCGCACCCGACGGTGCACTCGTACCACAAGCCGCACTGGCACCCGAGCCTCGTGCCGTACGCGCCGCGAGTGATGAGCGTCAGAGAGAAGGCGCGCATTCAGGGGTTCCCGGACCGTTTCGTCTTCAAAGGGACGGTGCACCAGCAGTACAAGCAGATCGCCAACGCGGTGTCGCCGCAGCTCACCAAGGCGCTCGCGCGGTCGATCCTGCACTCCGCGCTTCAGACGAAGACGCGCGGCGCGTTCGACGCGAGCAAAGACGCGGAGTCACTGCGCCAGGTGACGTACTCGGAATCGCTGCCGAACTTCAAAGATTTCATGTCGGGCTTCGACGAGAACGCGGTCGCCCGGTTCAAACGCCACGCCCCGATCGCGGTGAAGACGCCGAAGCTGTGCGAGATGACCTACGCGGAGTTCCTCATGGAGTACAACACGGAGTTTCGCTCGGATCACAGCGTGCGGAACGCCAACTTGACGCCGTTTCAGGTTTTACACCAAGTCGAGATCAACCACAGCTGGCACGTCGGCGAGGTGTTCGCGGTGCGGTGGAACGAAGGCGGCGGCGACGGCGGCGGCGACGCGGGCGCCTACCGGGAGATTTTGATCTCGTTCAAGGGGTTCACGAAACCGGAGTGGGTGGACCTGAACGGCGACATGTACGTCACGCTGCCGTGGAAGCAGTTCATGAGCAAACACACGGACGAGGTCAGCGCGGTGTTGAACGCGCCGAAGTCGAAGCAGCGGTTCGGCGTCCCCGGCTCCGGGTTCGCGCGCCCCGGACGCGTGCTGAACCTCCCGCCGGAGCTCGACGTCCTCTCCACGGTGAACGGCGAGGGCGCGCTCGAGGGCAACGGGTACTCGCAGCCGGAGCTCATCGCCGCGGAGACGCAGTTCAACGAGTGGGATCAGACGTACGCGGACGATAAAGCGGAGGGGAGGGTTTTAGTCACGAACACGACGAAGAAGTACGACAGGAAGACGAAGGGGAAGGCGGTGAAGTCGGCGGCGCCCGCGAAGAAGAAGGCGGAGATCGTCGCGGAAGAAGAGGACGACGACGAGGAGGACGAGGAGGACGTGGAGCTGGAAGAAGATCTTCCGCAGTGCTCCGACGACGAGGATTGATTGACGATGCTTTGGTTCGTGTATTTCATTTAATTTTACGTATTTAAAGGGTCGTAAGTTAAGAAGTAGTCGTCTTCTTCACCGCGACGACGGAGCCTTTCAATCCGTTGACGTAATCCCTCGCGCTCATCGCCTTCTTTCCCGGCGGCTGGAGCTCCGTGATCTCCAGCCACCCGCCGCCAGCGCACGGCACGCGCATGCAGTCCTTCCTGATCACGACCGTCCCCGCCGCGCGCGCGGCCGCGTCGTCGCCTTCGCCTTCGCCTTCGCCGCCGACGCGCGTGGTGACGATCTTCAACGACACTTCCTTCGCGTCCGCCGCGGCCTCCGTCTCTTTCCGCACCGCGAACGTCGCCTTCGTCCCGGGCCACCCCGCGAACCCGCGCACCTTATCGTGCAGCCTCCGCGCGCTCAGCTCGCCGTCGCAGAAGTCGAGCTCGCTCTCCTCGACGCTCACCTTGGCCGCGTGCGACGCCTCGCCGTACGACTCCTGCGGGGTGGAGTTGAAAGGCGTCAGAAGCGGAGTTGAAAGGCGTCGCGGGCGGGGATTGAAAGGAAGGGGTGGGCGGAGAGAGAAGACGGCAAAAGTCCTTAAGGATCGGCGATCACCACGCGAACGCGGTCGTATGGGGAACAGAGTGACGCGACTCTTACCTGCGGCGTCGTCCCGGCGTCGAACGCCGCCGCGCCGCTCCACACGTCCGGCAACGCGTCCACGAGCGCCCTCGCGCCGAGGCCGAACAGCTCCTCGAGCAGCTCCGGGTGCTTCTCGTCGCCGAGCAGCGGGCGCTCGATCCTGCGGAGCACCGGGCCGGCGTCCATCTTGAGCACGGTGTACGCGACTGAGGGCCGAGGATCCGTACGAAGCGACGAACGTCGGGGAGGAGTCGAGAGGCGTCAGAAGCGGAGTTGTGAGGCGTCGAGGTGTGTCGGGATTGAAACCGTGGTGTGGGCGGAGAGAAATCCCGGGAAGTAAAGTCCTTAAGAAACGGCGTTCACCACGCGAACGCGGTCGTATGGGGACCAGTCAGTGTGAGGAATACGCGCCTGAGACGCCGGTGACGTCCACGCCCGCCTCGAGCGCGCGCTGCACCGGCGCGGCGCCGCGAAACTGCGGCAACAGACTCGGGTGGATGTTCAGCGTCCCGAGGCGCGGGATGTCCAGGAAGCGCTGCGGAAGGAAGTTGCCGTACGCCGCGGTGACCATCAGGTCCACGTCCATCGCTCGCAGCGTCGCTAGGAAGTCGTCCTGCAAGCGAATGTCGGGGTGAAGTTCAAAGGCGTCAGTTGAAGTTGAAAGGCGTCGAGGCCGGGGCTTGAAAGCGAGGGATGGGAGGAGAGACACGCCGGGAAAAGTCCTTAAGGAACGGCGTTCACCACGCGAACGCGGTCGTATGGGGACTGGTGTATAGAACGCACCTCGTTCGCCTTGACGGGGCACAAGATAAAATCCTCGGGGACGCCGCGCGTCGCCGCGAGCGCGGCGACGGGCGACGGCGGCGGCGGGCCGCTCGATTTTCGCCCGCGCCCTCGCGGGCGCCCGGGCTGGGACACGACCGCGTGGACTTCGAACGCGGCGTCCGGGGTCTCCGCGGCGTCGAATATCGCGCTCAGCGCGCCGGCGGCGACGTCGGGGGTGCCGAGGAACACGAGGCGATGCTTTCGCGCGCCGCCTCCCTCTTCGTCGGACGGCGACGGCGACGACGACGACGCGCGGGCGGAGACGTTTCGGACGCCGCCGACGCCGCGCGCGGACGAGGTCGTCGTCGTCGCGATGACGCGGAGCGGGCGGCGATGACGCGCGGCGTCCGAGGGACCCGGCGCGTGACCCGATCGCGGGCTTCGGTGAAGATGACGATGATGATGATGATGATGATGATGAGGGTGCCCCGTCGACGCGGCCGTCGCGGCGACGCACCGCGACGACGCCCACGCCCGGGTGGACATCGCCTCGCGCACGATGCCGCTTCCGCTCGTTCGAAACGCGCGCAGTCCAGCCTTCGCGGCCGCGAACGACGACATCTCCGTGTCTGCGCCTCGGGAAGTGGCACCGACAGCTGTGTGAGAAACGATGAAGCCCGTCTATCGATGTCGCGTCAGATCCTCGGACGCGGAGTCGTTTCAGTGCACGGCGCGCGCGCCCCCCCGCGTCCACGATGGCGGCCGCGGCGGCGGGACCGATCGAGGACGAGTCCAAGTACTTCAAGGTGGACGTGTGCGTCGGCGACGCGCCGCTCCCGATCGTGACCGCGGTCGACGGCGGCGAGTGGGTCGTCGCTCGCTTCGACGACCCGACGACGACGATGATGAAGACCGAGGAGCAGGATCCGTACGGCGAGCGGTACACCCAGGAGTGGCCCGCGACGCCCTACGCGGTGCGCGTTTCGAACGAGTCCTACCCGGGCCCCGTGGAGGCGCAGGTGTTCGTGGACGGCAAGCTCGCGGGGATCCAGGTCGTGTACAAAGCGAACGACGAGCGAGGGCCGCAGTACAAGAACGCGATGTGGTTCAGGGGGTTCGCGTCGTCGCCGCAGGTGATCAGCTACGGCAAGGACACGATCACGCAGTTCCTGTTCACGCTCCCGAGGGCGGCAGCCGCGAGGGGGGGTGGGGACCAGGGCGCGCGGCCGAAGATGTCCGCCGCGGACCGCGCGGCGTTGGAGTCCATCAGAGTCGTGTTCCACGACGTGCAGTTCACCGGAGCGAGGAAAGAGGTCGCGGTCCCGGTGGCGGCGCGGCGCGGCGCGGTCGTCTCCGGCGTGAACAAAGCGTCCGCGAAGGACGCGAAAGCGTCCACGAGCACGGCGACGGGCGCGACGCTGCAGAACGCGCACGCGGGGGCGTACACCGGGAGCGTGTACGACCGCTTAGAAGTCATCGCGGAGAGAACGATTCGATACGGGACGAAATCGCAGTTGCAGCTACGGCGCGCGCTGCCGAGCGACGTCGAGGAGGCGACAGGAGAGCGCGCGAAGAAGACCGAGACCGAGGAGGGGGTCGGAGGAGGGGGAGGGGGAGGGGGCGGGGGCGCGGGCGTCGACGTCGTGGAGATCGACGCGGCGCCGACGCGCGTCAAGCCGGAGCCGCGCGCGTTGCATCCCGCGTGCGTCGCCGCCGCGCTCGCAGCGGGGAACGACGGGCCTATCGAGCTCGAGTGACGAGAGGAGGGAGGAAGCGCGCGTATGGGGGGGGGGGAGGGACGAGATGCAAAAGACAGAGACGACGAGACGACGGACGACACGATCGTGATAGGCACGCGAGACGACGCGGACGCGACGACGCGACGACGCGACGGGAATTTTTCGATGAACAGAGAACGATTCCGTTCCTTTCTTCGCGACCGCTGCTAACAAACTATCGTCGCACTACGCGCGCTGTAGTGTACCGCCTTCTCAACCCCGCGCATCACATCGAACACATCAATCCGAGTCCTCCTCCTCGTCGTCCGACCCTCTCCGCTCGCGCTCACCCCCGTGCCTCAGCGCCCTGAAGTGCTGATGCGGGTACCGCCTCCCACACGTCTCGCACGGGGTCCCGCCCACCCCGCTCCACGCGCCCTCGCCGGCTTCGCACGGGACGACCTCGTCGTCGTCGTCCGAGCCGTCGCCGTCGGCGCCGCGGCCTTTCGAAGGCTTCTCGCCCTCGTCGCTGCTGTCACCGTTTGCGCCCCCCGCGACGCCGCCCTTCGAAGGCGGTGGCGGCGCGAGGGGATGCCCCGGCAGCGCGCCCGCGACGCGCGCGAGCCATCGAATCACCTTCTCCTCGTCGAACCCCTCGACGCCGCCGAAGTCGTTCAGCCCGCACGTCCACGCGCCGAGTTTCTTCCTCCTGAACGTGATCACCGCGGGCAGCGTCGGCGCGCCGATCGTCCGCAGCATCGGGCTCGGGCATAGGGCGTCGACGCGGACGAACCGCGTCTTCGGATGCGCGGGCGCGAGCGCGTCGAGCACCTCGTCGATCCTCGCGCACTCGTCCATCCCTTCCAAGACGAAGTGGAACACGACGCGCGACGGCCCGCTCTTCACGATCGTTGGGATGTCGGCCTCCTTCGCGGCGTTATACGATGAGGCGCCCTCCCTCTGCCGCGTCGCGGCGTTCTTCGCCGCCGCGGCTTTCATCTCCGCGAGCCGTCGTTCGTGAATCTCTCGAAGGACCGGATCCATCGTGCTCGCCATCCGCAGGTCGTCGTCGTCGTCGTCGTCGTCCGTGAGGAGATCGTCGCTGTCCTCGTCCTCCTCGTCCTCGTCCTCCTCATCCTCGTCCAGGTTCGCGCGCTCCATGACCCCGCCCGCGGCGCGGACGGCCTCGAGCCGCGCGACCGGGTCGTGCGCTCGCAAGATGCGCTTGATCCGCGCCGCCTCCTTCTGCGCTTTCGCATCCTTCTCGCAGCACGAGCCCGGCCTCGGGGCGTCCGCGTACTCCTCCCCGGCCGCGTCGAGGGCCTCGTCGACCCACGACGTGCACTTGCCGGTGTCGCACGCGTCGTCCGCGCACGCGGGAGGGGGAGGTTGACCCATCGCGGCGGCGCGTCGGCGTGTGACGGCGATCGATGTTCTGTTTTCGTCGCGAGGAGTGCACACTGGTGCCGTCTGCTGTGCGACGTCCCGTCGGTTCGAAACTTCCAGAAGGACGCGGACGACGCCCAGATCTGGGCGCGCGAGACACGCGAGCGCGATGCCGAAGGGCGCTCGCGCCCACAACAGGCGCCGAAATCCGCCGTCGTCGAAGACGGCGGCGGCGGAGAGCGCGGCGGTCTACGTCGACAAGGCGGCGGGTCTTCCACGTCCCGCGTCGAAGACGAACGACGACGATCTAGTCGACGATCTAGTCGACGATGACGCTCCCGCGGCCGCTCCCGCGGCCGCTCC